CTCTTCGATACCTCATTTCTTAAATGGGCTTTTTATGCAATAGAAAGAGAAGAAATTAAAGACACTAAATTAAATATCTAATCAAACTAAAGGATATTTCAACAATTATTTGCATCATGCGGTGTAGAGTTTGTAAAGAACCACATTAAATGTTTAAAAATGTAACTACAAAACTATGTCCAAATAAATTTCCTATGAATGATACAATTTGATCCTTTCTACCGTATATGGTGTTTTAAACTTCCTTGTTTGCTGCGATAACAGAAGATATCAGTGGTCAGAGTTTACAAACAAGTCTGAAATCTGAATAGTTTGGTTCGTTATAATGCAGAACGTCGTTTTTGCTTTCTTTGTTTTGGGGTTTCTGTTAAACCAGTTTGCGTGAGTATATACATTAATTAATTAATTATTGTTATTTTTCCCCCTATTTTTATTGGTATGGTTCCTTCTAAATACTTGATGTGTGTTGCTTTCTAGAATTGCGAAGAATCTTATAATTATATGATTCATTGCTATGAATAGGGTTTGTCGAATTCAAACATTTTGATTTTCTTCTTACTACTATAATCTTTTAATATTTATTAATCAGAATTATAAAAAAAAACGTGTCCCAAGTAGACGTAATGTTAACATGCGCTAATAAATTACTACATGTAAGTAAAATGGCATTTCTTCTGAAAGAGATGGTCATCATTGCTTTTTAGTCCCCTACCGGTGAAACCGGAGGGGACTATAGGATTCCTCTGCGTCTGTCCGTCCGTCTGTCTGTCCCCGTCTGTCTGTCAGTCAGTCCTACTTGGTTTTCCGCACTTTTTTTCTAAACGCTTGCAGATATTGAGCTATATTTTGGTATGTGAGTGTATCTTGATGAGTTACAGATCAAGTTTAAATGTCCTTTTGCTGCATTGATTTTTGACAGAGTTATGGCATTTTTAATTTTTCATAATGGTTTAAGATCATGTTCGTGCTGCGCTGAATTCCGATTGTCAACATGGTAAATATATAAAGCGAGAAAAAGACGTTGAAAAAATGAGTTGAATTTTCGTCTTTGTGTGGATTATTTTATTAAGTTAAAGGCATTCACAACCTCAAAATTAAGCAGTTTTACCATGGTCATAACTTTTGCATATCATAAAATGACAACCTAAAGAAAAAAGGGAACCCGGTAGGGGACATGTATTGCTTGTGCACTTGTTTCCAAGTAAAAACCAGAATTCCCTGTTGAGACTGAAGCTCTTCTGGTTTGTACCTATAACAAAGGCAGAGAAAAGTAGCTTGCATGGGACTTGAAATTTTACAACAGCAATAAATAGAATAATGATCCTTGATTAAGTCTCTTTTTTGGGAAGATATTGCAATAAGACTACATGTACAACTGTAGGAGTAGCTTTTAATAAAATTTTACAGTATTTTCAATTCTAGTTACAATGGATACATCATTCATTAAAATAAAAAAAAAAATAAATAATTAAAAAAAACCAATTAAGACAATTATGTATCTCAGTGTAGTCTACTTGCATGTTACATAATATTAAAATCAGACTAAAACTGTGTTTGGAGTAGCATTTTGAGAGTATTTTACAAAAATTTCAACGAAAATTACAAAAACGGCAACACCGTTCATCGAAATCAAAAACCGATGAAAAGAATTATGTTTCTTGATGTAGTATACTTGCGTTCGAAGTGATAGGCGCTATTGAAATGAGACTAAATCTGTAGGAGGAGTAGTATTTTAATGTATGTCACAGAAATTTCTATTTTTAGTAACCAAGGCAACACTGTTCATCGAAATAAAAAACCGATGCACAGAAATATGTATCTTATTGTAGTCAACTTGTGTGCCAAGTTATATTGAAATCAGACCAAAACTGTAGGATAAGTAGCATATTGAAGAATTGTTTACAGACAGACAGACAGAAAGAAAGACGGATGCTGGACGCATTACTTTCGCATAAGCTCTTCTGGTCTCTGACCAGTAAAGCTAAAAAAAAAACTGAGGTGTAATCTACAGCTGAAAGATGTTAGGGCTCAACTCTGATTGTGTCTCTATTGATCGTTCTGAGGTCGTCTCTAGTGATTGCTCTGAGGGGTTTGCTATAGATCGCTATGAGTTCGTCTCCAGTGATAGCTCTGAGGGGTTCTCTAGTGATCGCTCTTAGAATTTCTCCAATGATCTCCCTGAGGTCGTCGCTAATGATCTCACTTAGGCCTTTTTTAGTGATCTCTCTGAGGTCGTCTCTAGTGATCGCTCTGGGGCCTTTTTTAGTGATCTCTCTGAGGTCGTCTCTAGTGATCGCTCTGAGTGTGTCTCTAGTGATCGCTCTGAGGAATCTCTAGTGATTGCTTTGAGTGTTCGCCTTGAAGGTTTCTCTATATAGAGATCGCTATGAGGTCGTCTCTAGTGATCACTATAAGGGTGTCACTAGTGATCGCTCTGAGAGTTTCTGTAGTGATCGCTCTGGGGTTGTCTCTAGTGATCACTCTGAGAGTTTCTGTAGTGATCGCTCTGAGGTTTCTTTAGTGATCGTTCTGAGGGTTTCTGTAGTGATCGCTATGGGGTTATCTCTAGTGATCGCTCTGAGGGTTTCTGTAGTGATCGCTCTGGGGTTGTCTTTAGTGATCACTCTGAGAGTTTCTGTAGTGATCGCTCTGGGTTGTCTTTAGTGATCACTCTGAGAGTTTCTGTAGTGATCGCTCTGGGGTTGTCTCTAGTGATCGCTCTGAGGGTTTCTGTAGTGATCGCTCTGGGGTTGTCTCTAGTGATCACTCTGAGAGTTTCTGTAGTGATCGCTCTGGGTTGTCTTTAGTGATCACTCTGAGAGTTTCTGTAGTGATCGCTCTGGGGTTGTCTTTAGTGATCACTCTGAGAGTTTCTGTAGTGATCGCTCTGGGGTTGTCTTTAGTGATCACTCTGAGAGTTTCTGTAGTGATCGCTCTGGGGTTGTCTCTAGTGATAGCTCTGAGGGTTTCGTGTCTATTAAGGGCTTTCAACGATTTTAAACCACTTTTAACGTCAGATGTCAGGTTCATTATGACATACATGTAAAAAAGGCTTCGTGAGCATCGAGTCTCTTCCGTATTTTATATGGTGTTCATACTTCGCCAAGGAATACCAATCTAAAGGTGTAAATCAAATATGTGAGTGAAAAAAAAATCTTTGTAAAATCATACTTGTTAACATATAGAATGCTCTTTGTTTAAATAGCCAATAAATGCGCTTCTAATTTTTTTTTTATATCCGATCTTATAAATTCAGTCAATTTCAAAACAAACTTCCTTAGTGATCTCTGTTCGCTTATCTCACAACTGGTGTGTTAAGTAAACACTCATCAATCAGACATTATCTGTGCAAAATGTCATTGTGAAGGAAAGAATAAGGAAAGCAAATAAATTTTGATTTGTCTTGAAAGAAAACTATCATCTAATAGCTATGAAAAATTGAAGATAACGCACAGAGATCAATCAAAACGAGTCGGATATTTTTTTGGTTAAGGAAATTTTACAGTTATTTTAGGCCATTTCTATCCAGAATACATGTATTTACGGGAAACAGTTACGGTTTTTTCGAAGACTACCCTGATTATTTCGAACTTAGGTTATGAAAAGTACTAAAATATTGGCAGTCCGCGATCAACGAAATAATATTATCTTGAATGAGGATGGATCTCTAAAAAGAAATACCTGTTTTCATCATATTAAGTCTTTGTAGACTATGAAATATAAAAAAAAAAACTTGATATAAAAACACAAGACTATTTAAAACAAGAGGCCCAGGGGCCACATCGCTCACCTGAGCACATCGGCTAGGAAAACGCACAAATCAAATCATAATTGCAAAGTTTACTGAGGGGGGGAGGGGCTTGAATTCTAACACTACCTGATGATGCCTCCATATCAATTCTGCATATAAGTTCTTGAGAAAAAGATTTTTATATATTTTTTTAAACATTTTGTTTGTATATATTACTTTGTAATAATTTGAATTTGTCTCCCCATCATTTCCCTCCCTACCCTAAAGGGTACTCAGGATTTGAACAAATTTAAATCTTCAATACATGAGGATGTATACATGTCAGTATGACTTAACATAGCTTTTCTGTTATTGAAATTTTTCCCTTTATTTTCCTATGAAAAACTTTGATCCAGCAGTGAGGCCCTTCCCTACCCTTGGAGGTAATGATTCGAACAAATTTAATTCTACACTACGTACCTGAGAATGCTTCCATATAAATTTCACTAATCATGGCTTTGCTATTCTTTAGAAAAAGATTTTTTAAAATATATTTTAATGTAAAACTTGTATCCCCCATTGTGGACCCACCCTATCCCTGGGGGTTACAATGTATGATTTAAACAAATTAGAATCTACAGTATCTGAGGATGCTTCCATAAAAATATCACTAATCATGGCTTTGCAGTACTTGAGAAGAAAATTTTAAAGATTTTCCTATATATTCTTATGTAAAACTTTGATCAGCCTTTGTGGCCCCACCCTACCCCGGAGGTCATGATTTGAACAGACTTGAATCTACACCACCTGACGATGATTTAACATGAGTTTTATCTTTCCTGTCCCAATGGTTCTTGAGAAGAAGATTTTACCTATATATTCCTATGTAAAACTTTGATCAGCCATTGTGGCTCCACCCTGATTTGAACAAACTTGAATGTACACTATCTGAGGGTGGCTCAACATGAGTTTCATCTTTCCTGTCTCTATGGATCTTGAGAATAAGATTTTTCTTATGTATTCCTGTGTTAAACTTTGATCGGCCAGTGTGGCCCCACCCTACGCCGCGGGAGGCCATGATTTGAACAAACTTGAATCTACATTATCTGAGGATGATTCAACACGATTTCATTTTTCCTGTTCTAATGGTTCTTGCGAAGAAGATTTTAAAATTTTTCCTATATATTCCTATGTAAAACTTTGATCGGCCATTGTGGTCCCACCCTACCCCCGGGGTCCATGATTTGAACAAACTTGAATCTACACTACCTGAGGATGATTCCACATGAGTTTCATCTTTCCTGGCCCAGTGGTTCTTGAGAAGAAGATTTTTTAAAAAATGCCATTAATTTTTCACTAATTCATAAGTATCTCCCCTTGGAAGAGGGCGTGGCCCTTCATTTGAACAAACTTTAATCCCCTTTATCCAAGGATACTTTGTAGCAAGTTTAAATTGGTCTAGTGGTTCTAGAGAAGAAGATGAAAATGTGAAATGTTTACGACAACAACAACAACGACGCCAACGACGACAGACAACGGAAAAATTTTGATCAGAAAAGCTCACTTAAGCCTTTGGCTCAGGTGAGCTAAAAAGGATCACAGTTGAAGCTCTTAGGCATCCCAACACAGACTTTACGTTAATTTCACAAAAAACTTTTTATACACTCAACATAAACAATTCTTCTCTGTTGTTACTTCTTATATTTATAACCCCCCCCCCCGGCTTGAAAAGCGGGGGGGATAAATAGTAATCGGGATGTCCGTCCGTCTTTCTCTTGTCCGTCCATCTGTTACGCTTCGGGGTACCCATCTCTTCTCAACACTTCTCACACCACTGAATAAAATTTGATGAGACTTTCAAAGAATCTTTGTTACATATTGCCATTGTGCACCTCTTATTTTACCTTTTGATCCGACACATACTCTGGGTTTCCATAGCAAAACATGAACACTGCCATTATATTCATATCTGAGGCGGCGGGGGGATGGGGGGGGTATCAATTAGTGAGCTCATTGCTCACAGTACCTCTAGTTTATACAAAGATGCGGCAACGTACCTAGCTATAAGGTACGAGTATCAATATACTGCAAGCGGAAACAAATTATCATTTTGAAAGGTGGTGGTTAAGTTCAATAAATATTTTTAATAATCAAATTAAATAACATTGTATGATATACTAGTATTCTGGTCCTTTTTAGGAAATGAATCTCATTAAATACGCATCAAACTTTGAACCGATCTCAATTTAAAATTCTCTTAAATAAATCATTCTGAAATCGCTCATCGGTCAGGACCGCGTTTCACAAAACTATTGGAAGATTGTAAAATTTCCCGCACCGTGGGGATTCTGTGCTTTTTTCTGTTTTATTTCCGCTCTATTTATCGTACTTTTAATCTGCTTACTCTGAAAATCAGAAAAAAATTAATTGTCCGCTCAATTGTTTTCACGATCCACCTAAAAATTTTGCCTACAAAAAGTAATAATATTATTATCTAACCGCTTGCCCGCTCCTAATTTTTTTCAGCAAATGTCCGACGAACAAGAAATTAAAATGGTGTGGCCTTATGTGCGGCCGCAGTTGTCGAGTGTTCGAAATTAGGATAACGTGATTTGTTGGTATAAACTGCAGTTCGCAGGGTTGGGCGTTTATCTAAGCTCGCTCGGTTCTTTGAATATCAAGTTGATAGGTAGTAAGGTACACTGTGTATTAAGAACATTTTGTGTAAAAAATAGACGATATACAAATGGAATCTTCTGTAGATGATTTGGAATTGGCATGTATCTTGAGATTATTTGTATATTGAAAATAAAGAGCTAGCGAGCAGCATCCTGTTTGCGACACATGTGTTTGTTGATTATTTAACAGTTAATTAATTTATATTCGGACGAACGAAGTGAGGGAGAATATAACAGTGAATAATTGTTTTTTTCCAGAGATTACTTAAATCGATTATGAACATGTTATATATAATATCGCTACTAACGATAAGCACCGCTATTATCACGAATGATGATATAGTTTCTTTCCAAACTTGTGGTTTTTTTGTAATATATCCTCATGGACTATGAATTTCCGTGTCAATACAAAAGTTAAACTTGATATACTTTTCAAAGCAGAACGTATATTATTGTCTGTAACTAAAAAAATAACTTTACAAGTCGAACCTATATCTCAAAGGCCATAGAATTTTTAAATAAAATGTATTTATTTTTCTGAAAATGACGTTTTAACCAAATGAAACTGCTGTAAATTCCTTATTTTTTGCGAGTACTTATCTTCGCGAAATTGCTCTTTAACGTCAAATCGCGAGAATAATATTCGCAAATGGAGGGTTCATCAAGAGAATTTACATGGATTTTAGCACTTTAAAAATAAAAGCGAGTAATTTTATTTGGCGTGTCATGGTGCTCGCGAAAGTACGCAATAATTTATTCCTCGCGTATAATTAGGAATCTACAGTATATATAGATTCTGAAAAGAGGGTGTGTTTATTTATAAAAAACCAAATAATAATAAAAAAAGACCTTCTCTTTTTCATTCATTATTGTTGTATCTATTTTACATGGTTGTGTATTTATGACGTAAATTAAAGAATAAACATCTTATTTTTCAGTATATCTGCAGCTGCTTCGTGTAAACATACGGTAAGAGTGGTAGAATCTTACAAGAACAGGGTATGCTCGTGTCGATGGTGGGGAATCTGGTAAGAGACCAACAGTAAAGAAAATCCAGTAGATCATAATAAGTCATATTAAGTTCTTAGAGCAATATGAGCTGCATTTTTGAAAAAATTATTTTGCTGTTAAAATGTGTTATTATGATAATTTTCTATGTAACTTAAACCTTAATGATCAATTAGACTAAAGTAAAGCAGAAGAAAGACTTTCTAAATTCGACACCAAAGTTGCAGCTCATATTGCTTTAAACTTCCTGTACTAAAATTTAATTGTCATCGTGGATTTTGTGTGATAAATAAACATCACTTGTTTTCAATTATTTAAATATTTTAGTAATATACACAAAATTTCAGTAAATATATGCATAAATAAACAAATTATGAGATTTTACAAAAAATTATGTAAATGTATCATTGTTCATACAGGTTTGCAGTTCTGTCCAATTAACAAAAATATTTCTAATGGCTAATTAATGATTAATATTTGATCCAGCATGATTTTAAACTTAATTTGAGTATGCCGAGTTCCCAAAAATATGCTGCCGTTTAAAACGTCAAGAATGCGATTCAAAATAGTGGACACTTTTCTGTCAAGTCGATATAATCTAAATGGCGTTTAAAACATCAAGAAATTTGAATTTCACTCAGTGGCATAAGGGGAGCTGTGAGGAAGAGATGTGTACCACCAAAGCGTAACGGACGGACGATAACGGACACGGCTGCGCCTCGGTTGACAATGGTTTTCTTGAGGATGAAAATTTTCAATGTTACACTCAACTTCATATACGATTATAACTTACTCAAATTGTTTTTCTTATTGATTTTCCCACAGTACTCATCATTCGTGGGTGTGGCGGTATCGTGACTACTACAGACAAACGTGTTGCCCAGGATATGGGGGATGGGACTGTCAGCGTAAGCATGTTTATCTGTTTCCAGTATCTTATTGCACATACCGGGTATATTTATTTGTTTCCAGTATCTTACTGTAAGTACCTGGCATATTTATCTGTTTCCAGCATCATACTGTAAGTACCGGGTATATTTATCTGTTTACAGTATCTTTCTGTAAGTACCAGACATATTTATCTGTTTCTAGTATCTTTCTGTAAGTACCGGGCTTGTTTAACTGTTTACAGTATCATTCTGTAAGTACCGGGCATATTTATCTGTTTCCAGTATCATTCCGTAAGTACTAGGCATATTTATCTGTTTCCAGTATCAATCTGTAAGTACTGGGCATATTTATCTGTTTCCAATATCTTATTGTAAGTACCGGGCATATTTATCTGTTTCCAGTATCATTCCGTAAGTACTAGGCATATTTATCGGTTTCCAGTATCATTCCGTAAGTACTAGGCATATTTATCTGTTTTCAGTATCTTACTGTAAGTACCGGGCATATTTATCTGTTTCCAGTATCATTCCGTAAGTACTAGGCATATTTATCTGTTTCCAGTATCTTACTGTAAGTACTGTGTATATTCATCTGTTTCCAGTATCATTCTGTAAGTACTGGGCATATTTATCTGTTTCCAGTATCTTACTGTAAGTACCGGGTATATTCATCTGTTTACAGTATCATTCTGTAAGTACCGGGCATAATCTGTTTACAATATCTTACTGTCAGCGTAAGTATATTTATCTGTTTACGGCATCTTACTGCTACTAGATAAACATCTTTTGGGTTACGACTTGCATGGTTATCTTCAATTACACATTAGGTTACAATCAATTTTGATCTCTTGATATAATTATATGCATCGTTAATTATAGGTCCATGGACCAAAATGCTCACTTGAGCGACAACGGTCCTCCTTTTCTTCCTCGTCAATCATCAGATTATTACTACACCGGATAGAACGGCGCATTCGGGGTGGCGGTGGGGCGTGACTCGGGGTGGCGGCACCGAAGCGAGAAAAACACTATCAAGGTGTGTTTACCTGCATTTTTTTCATATGTTCAGACGTCTTAGATCAGAAAATTGTATGTTACGGAAGAGAACAAATATCAACGTACCTCTGACTGTTTAAAGCAGCCTTTGAGAGTGCTTTGTTTTCTCAAACACTCCTCCTCACTTTTCGGGGTATCAACGTTTTCGACTTCTGACATGATATTCTGTTTCAAAATTGACCTCAAAGGGGTTTTTTTTCTCACATCATCAACAGTAATAAAGTTATACGATAGAATTTAACTTCAATCCTCCTTTAAAAGTCAGTATAGGTTACTAATTTAGCCAATTTAGGCTTCAAACTCGATGCGACGATCGGGGTGGCGGTTTTTATGCCTTGCGGGGTGGCAGCGTGTCCGAGAAATAAGGATTATTCTTTCATTCAGCGTTCTCCTGGCCCCCTTGCGAGACAAAAAAGATTCAGATCTCTTAGAGAAATTTAGATTATGCCATGGCATGATGTTATTTCGCTATAAATGTGGCTATGTCAAACTTTAAGAAGCTTTATTTTTATAATTTAAAGTCCGAACTGAACAAGAAATTGACACTTTATCATGATCAGTGCGTATTGCTTTATGCATGCAGTTGCTACATTTAAGTTTAGAACAAAAGCCCAAGTTAAGCAGTATAAACCACTATGCATTATAAGAGAGAGGTATTTTTGTGGAGCGATTGTTTTGGGATTTTTACGATTTTTACCTATTGCACACATGATGAATAAGTATAAACAATTTAGTAATTCATTTATGAAGAAAGATTTAATATCTGAGGGGGGGGGGGTCTGTTCACAAGTATCTGTGGTCCACAATTTTGCGACAAATTTTATCAGTTTCATTTCTTCAAAAGAAAACTCGAATTTATGTATTCTTACAGGGATGATGCAGGGATGTCAATCTTGAAACATCACAAAGTCACTGTCCATTCCGGTTCTGGTTGTCCAGGATAAGATTTGATAGTAATGCATTAATTAAATGGCGCACGATGTTTTCCAGGAATATTTTCCAGCAAACCTTGCTTCATTGAGAAAAATCTGTAGATAATTTAAAAGATTGTATTTTTTAAAAAAAAATTGCCAAATGTCTTGTACAAAACGAGTGATCTGATTATATTGCTGGAGTGCCCATTATCTGATCTGCGATTGGCAAAAAGATGAGACAAAAATAGTAAACTTAAAAGAATAATAAACACGAAAAGAAAAATTGGTAAAAAACGACTATGGTTTGTTATATTGATGTGTTGTTACACCACTAGGTTAGTGAAAACTTAAAAGTTGAATGGAAATCATGTTATTTCAAATTATATTTATCCCTGAACATTTTTCTTGTCCCATGTTAAGGGGGAAGGGGGGGGACTCAAGGACATTTTTTACTCCACCACATACATAATTATGTATGTTACCGGTCTTGTAGAGTAGGCTTTCCCCCCTAAAATCCCCCCCCCTCGGAAAACTGGCTGTTAAGTAGACTTTCCCGCGGAAAGCTGGCTCTACAGTAGAATTTGCCTTACAATATAAGTAATTAAACCCACTTATTTACCTTTTAAAAATCAGTTTGCCGTTTATCTTTTTTTCATAAAGATACTGAGTATTGCGGCTGTGGTTTACATTGACTCTATAAACGAGGGGGGGGGGGGGGTCCTACGCTGAGAAAGAAAGAGGGGAAATTTTACTCTGGTATGAGTTTCCCCTCAATGGAAAACCCTACTCTAGAGAGCGATTTCCGGGGGTGGGGGGAGCTGGCTATGGGGGAAATCTTACTCTACAACACCGGTATGCTCTCGTTGTTGTTTTTATGCTTTTTATTTCAGTTCATTTTACGTTTGTTCCAATGGATAAGACCGAACATGGTCGGGGGGGTGGGGGGGGGGGCATTCTACAGTTTCTTTTATGGCATAGCCCAACCCACTTTTTGCAAAGATAGACATAATAAAGACATTGAACATTTTGGGGGTAGTTTTAGCCCCCACCCACCCCACCCTTTCTACACGCACAGGTTACAGTGTATTCAAAGAAGGGTGAGTTATGCATGGGGTTTTGAAAAAGAAAATGGTACTGAAAGAATATTGATCTATCCTAACCCTCCCCCAAGAAACAGCATTTAACGTTTGAATAATTTACTTCTTTTGCTGGTCATTTTTTTTCCAGGTTTGAATTTTGTTCTCTTTCAATTAGCACCACCCCTTTCATTTTTTCTTCTAAAGCTAATGTATGGTAAACATGGTAAAGTTTTTGTCCATTATTGAGAGCCGTATTGAGATTTGTTAAAGTGAAATTATTTGTTGTTTTGCATTTAATGGATGGGATACCCCCCTTCCCGCCTCAATTAAACGATATAGGAATAGATAGCGATCATCTATGATAGATTTTCAAGTTTGTTGCCCATAATTAGTCAAATTAGGGGCTTTATAAAAATTGGCCAAACCTTCTGCACCTAATCATTGCATTTTACAAGTCAACTTCTTGTAACATGCATTAATTAAATGCAGAAGGTTTGGCCAATTTTTAGCTTTTAGTGTGATACACATAAATCGTCAATTTCAGTTAATTTCACATCTTTCGGCTATGAACGTATGTCCCGAATAAACAGATAATCACAATATGATAATTTAACAACAGTCACTCAGTTGTTATTTTGTTAGTTTAGGGACAAGTACAAAGATGTTTATATGTGTATAAAAATTGTGATTGAAATTATCTTGATTATTCTGCTTAACATGGACTTTTGTTCAAAACTAAGTTTGACATAGCCACATTTATAACGAAATAACATCATGCCATGCCATAACCTAAATTTCTCTAAGAGATCTGAATCTTTTTTGTCTCGCAAGGGGGCCAGGAGAACGCTGAATGAAAGAATAATCCTTATTTCTCGGATATGCTGCCACCCTGCAAGGCATAAAAACCGCCACCCCGATCGTCGCATCAAGTTTGAAGCCTAAATTGGTTTAATTAGTAACATATATTGACTTTTAAAGTAGGATTGAAGTTAAATTCTATCGTATAACTTTATTACTGTTGATGATGTGAGAAAAAAAAAACCCTTTGAGGTCAATTTTGAAACAGAATATCATGTCAGAAGTCGAAAACGTTGATACCCCGAAAGTGAGGAGGAGTGTTTGAGAAAACGGAGCACTCTCAAAGGCTGTTTTAAACAGTCAGAGGTACGTTGATATTTGTTCTCTTCCGTAGCATACAATTTTCTGATCTAAGACGTCTGAACATATGAAAAAATGCAGGTAAACACACCTTAATAGTGTTTTTCTCGCTTCGGTGCCGCCACCCCGAGTCACGCCCCACCGCCACAGCGAATGCGCCGTTCTATCCGGTGTTACTAACTATACTGGACTCCAAAGTGGAACGGGTGCTCACGCCAAAGTCCTATGGCCTGTGCCAGACCCTGATGGTTTGACACACCAAAGTCAGATGGTGCAGAAAAAATTAACGTTTATGACGTCATAGTACTACTGCACCGAACCTCAATGTGCGCCCGACCAAGGTCTTGAATAAATCTGGAAATTTTTGCTGTAGATAAATTTTTAGCAAATTTGCGAGTTCATTGCATTCGCAAAAATATTTTTCTTAAAAATAAATTACCAATAAGAAAATGTAAACAAAACAGTGGTAATTCGCAAAATTTTAAAACGTAAGAATTAATCAACACCATTTTGACCCTATTCGCAAAATAAAATCGACGTAAAAATTTCCAGATTTATGGTAAATAAATTTCATTATGCGAACACTAACCCTAATCTCTCAGATGGATGCAAAACTAACCCTTATCGCTCGAAAAGTGTGCACCAACTATTACCTAGATATCTTGAGTGGTTGCAAGACTAACCCTAATCACTCGACTAGTGTGCGACGACTAACCCTAAATCTCTCGGGTTGGTGCAAAGCAAGGACTTAATCTAACTAGTCGAGTGGTGTGCGAGAACTAATCCTAATATCTCTGGAAGGTGCAAAGAAGGATATGGACATAACGAACAGTAT